ACTGATCCATCTTAAAGTGTCCAAGTCTGAAAAACACAGCTCTAGTGGGATAATCGTCCATTTGTTTGTACTGCTGTGTTCTGTGTTGACCTAGCACTGAATTCCCTTTCCTACTTATAACAGACCATCAGTTTAATTGGGCTGTTTTCCTCTTCTGATCTAACCTGTGGATTTTATTTATGCTTGGACTGTATCTCACCTTGTTTGCTCGAGAGCACGTCGTAAGTCTTTTGTTGCTGTTGGGGAGATGCGTTCCTTGAGTCAGTTGCATCGGTATTTCTGGAGACGCAACAATATTCCTGTTTTTCCATCCATCCCTAAGAACAGCCTCTCTTTGTGCTTTGCAGTGAAAGGCAGAGAGCACCAGAAGCCAGCAGAAGCCAGGGCAATTAAAGGTAATTCCCCGTTCTCCAGTTTGCTGGTGGGTTACTCCTGCGGGGTCGCCATGTTCTGGAAATGCCCTTAAATGCTTTGGATGGCCGGCTTCTCCTCTGGATGGCTCCCACCCTGTATCTGTCCACTAATGAGAGAGGCTGGCAGCTACGGAGATGGTGAAAAGGCCCCACAATGTCCTTGGGGGCCCAGAGAATCAATATTATAAGGATCTTGGAGCACAAGGGCCCGCTCAACTCTGGCGTCCTTTCTTTAAGAACTAATACAAATTAGAACAGGGAAAACAAAGCAAGTTAGAAATAACCGAATGATAAAAGAAAAGAGAAGAAAGAAAAGAGAAAGATAAAAAGAAAGATATAACAGTGTAAAGAGGTGGCTTCCGATATTCTTCACAGCAGTTATAGGTATAAATATATTTTAATCTCTCTCTCTAAAGTTACATCGTGATTCTCTTCTTTTTATAATCTATCCTGTCTAATCATCAAAACCATAAATCACAAGTTCTTTTTTTTTTTTTTTCATTTTTCAACTCTGGCATCCTTTCTGCCTCAAGCAGACTGGCTTGGGAATAATCCTCCTGATGATCCAGGATTAAATTTGCAGGCCATCTTTTCTTACCCTGACATTCAGATTTGTACCAAGGGAATCATAAATTGGCCAATTTTGCCTGGATTTGGCCTTGAAACAGTCTTGGAATATGCTGACTAAATTCTAGAGGGCTTCTAAAGCTACATTGGAAGGTGGGGTGGGCTCTTGGTCACATTTCTGTTTGAGAACTCTGCAAAAATTAACTGCTTTCCTTTCACATTTACAGAGTCTGGACCTGCTCCAATGCCCGGAAGCTTTGGTGAGCTGCCCCGTTCTAGAACGCTTGAATCCCGCAGGGTTTAAGATGTTGTCATCACCCCAGTCTAGGAATTGGGACTGAATCACCCTCCGTTTCTGCAAATGTCCGTAATCTTTTACGATTAAGAGGTTCCGCTTAAATGAATTTCCCTAATCTCTGTTATTCAGAGCCTCTTTCTTCCAGATATGCTATGCTGCAACAGAACGTTTTATGGGTTCCCCCCCAACCCAGGTGAAACTTGCTTTTTCCTATTCTGGGTTACAAAGAAAGGCTAAGAAGGACCAGTGACCCCATTATTCCTGAAGCTAATCATCTTGGCCCAGCCTTCACGTGCTCAGCATCCTCTTCCCATTAGAACTAATTTCTTCCAACTGCCTTATTAACCTCCCTTGTTGTCCTTCCTACAGAGTCCTTGTGGCTTCCTGTAGGTGCCTCCAAGGTGCTTAATCACTTAGTCACTCCAAATGTCTCTATTGTTTGAATATAGCAGCAGGAAGTGGAGAGAAGAGGAGAAATTATATCACCTCTGTGCTGTTTATAATTCTGATTCATAAATTCAGGAGGGCTGGGTTGTTAATGGCTACCTCTCCTGATGATTTTTTTTTTTTATTGTATTGACTGTGATTCTTGATTTTTATACACAGTTCTAATGCAGATTCTGTTCTTGCATTTGAGTGTTTGTTTGTATTTTAACCCCAAATAATGAATATAGTGAAACATTGTGGCTTGAAAGGAAAAAAGGGTGTTTGTTTCTAAGCAATTCCTGGAGAAAATCTGTGTGTTCACTAAGAGTCGACACTTGAGGGCACTTAATCAGTCTTGATGGCATATAATCAATTTCTAAACAATAGAGAGTTGTGTGTTTTTGTGTTACCTCTCATTTCTGTCGTAGAAATGAGCATTTACTGTTCCTGAGCACTTAACTATAGACACTTCAGCACTCCATCAGAGAGTGAGTTTGTATAGCAACATTTACCTACATCCTGCTGCAATACACGGAGCCTCTCCAGAAAATATTCAGGTTGGTCCTCTTTGCCTTCTACCACAAGAATTTGCAGGCTCCCACTTGCAAATTCCGGGGCTGTGTTTGCAGAACGTAGGAATCTGGCGAGACCCGTTTTGAGGGTTTGCACCGTATCTTAAGCCATGAAGTAACTACGCCGAGCTGTCTGGAGGAGAGTGACCTAGCCATGTTAGTAATGAACACACCCTCTGCTCATTTAGCGACCACAATCCGTGCCTTAAATCAGAAGCGAAACGGTCACTAAGTGAACACATGACAGAGAGAGAGAGATGATGAGAAGATCACTGGTTGCTACCATCGCATACAGATAAATTTCTCTTGTGCCACTATGCCAGTGTTCATTTATTTATTTATTAGATTTTTATCCCACCTTTATTATTTTTTATAAATAACTCAAGACGGTGAACATACATAATACTCCTTCCTCCTCCTTTTTTTCTCCACAACAACAACCCTGTGAGGTCACTCTGGCATATGTGGTCAGGCACACAAAATTTGGTCATAAGTGCATGTATTGGTTAGAAAATGATTTTTTTCCCCCGCCACTTATTACTGTCATATTTATGAATGGAGGCTAAACGAGGTAGCTGCTAAATGAGGAGTGACTGTAAATGATATTACAGGTAGTCCCCGACCTACGACCATTCATTCAGCAACTGTTTGAAGTTACAACGGCACTAAACAAATGGTGGTTATGACCGTTCCTCGGAGTTCCCCTGTGGTCATATGATTGCAATCTGGGCACTGGGCAACTGGTTCACTCTGATAGCCAGTGGCAGTACCCCACAATCACATGATCACCATTTGCAACCTTCCCTGCCAACTTCCCCAGAAAGTCAGTGGGGAAGCAGGCAGGGAAAGTGGCACGTTGCTTGGGTAAGTCTCCCCCACCCATGCACCCTCCCCCACCCCTCTGCACTTGTGCTTGCTGGCCACTTGCTCACCTTCCCCAACCCATGCTGTACCCTCGTGCGCCCGACCTGACTCTTGCTAACGACTGTGGGATTCAGTTAACAATGGCAACCAGGACTGCAGGGATTGCCTTTGCTAAGCAATGCGGTTGCGCTTTACGACGAGTCGCTTAGTGACGGAAATTCCGGTCCGGATTGCCGTCATAAGTTGAGGACTAACGGTAAAATAAATACAACCCAGACAGGGCATCTGGCAGCACATTCAAGACTAACCAGGTTTCAGCTCACAAAAGCAGCGTCACGTTTTGGTTCCCTTTGCAGCTGCAGCACGAGGACTTTCCCCCCAGAGAAGTACCAGGAGCCATGCCTTGCTGGAGGCTGCCGGACCAAGCCATGTGGCGATCAACGCCATCTCAGCCAACATGGAATCCTGCAGCAGCCGCACAGCCGCCCTTAAGAAGCAGCCCAGCCACATGGAAGCTGCTCACTTTGGAGACCTGGGTGAGCCTGGTCTCTTTTTCTAGCCCAGCTGGGTCCAAAGACGTCCTGAATATGCGTATTACATAGAGCAGTGCTTCTCAACCTGAGCCATTTTAAGATGGGTGGACTTCAACTCCCAGAATTCCACAGCCAGCATGGCTGGCTGTGGAATT